AATACTTCCTCCCTGAAATTGTAACCCTCCTGAACCCACTGCCATCCAATCCATTTGGACTCCCAGGGACCCTAATATAGGTCAGGGTAGAACTGCTGCCTAGGGTCTGCGAGGCTACGCAGATCTTGGCCGAAGATCATGTCCTCTTCCTCCCCAGAGAGGCTGTTGGGTTTGAACTGCTGACCTTAGCATTAGCAGCTCGATGCTTAAACCAGTGCCCCACCACACTCCTTTGAAAGTATGTATCAAGGACAGCCTAATGCTGTATTAGGGAAAGTTTACCTTGGGGTTCTCTACAACTGAACATAATGAAAAGATACAATTTGCAATGGCCTAGTCTACATTTCCACAAGGCTGAGAAAAAACTTTCATTGTTGATCACCTAATATGATCAAAACAAGTAGAGAAAGAAGAATTAGTGGAATTTAAGGATAGAAACAGACAGAACCAGAGGGTTAAAAGTGATCACGTGTGTGGTAAAGTTAGGCTGCACATTTGACTTTGAGCTCAGGGACTTCAAAGATATAACTCAAGAGATGGCGAGCACTTAGAAACACAGTGAGACAAACATGGGCTTGGGTTTCTCTTAAGTTTTATATAGCTTCTTCTTCTCAGTAGTATTTCACACATATTAGATGAAATTTGACTATAGGTGCAATTTAGATGCTATGACTTTATTAGGGAGCCCTAGAGGGGGTATAGGTCAGGCATTGGGCTAAGATTGGTGGTTCAAATCTACCAGTTGCCCTGTGGGAGAAGGATGTGGCAAATCTGCTCCTATCAAGGCGTACAGTCTTAGAGACTCGAGATAGGATTGCCATGAGTCTGAATACACGGCCATGGGGATAAAACATTTTTTAAAAATGGGGTTAGATCAGTGGTTCTCAACCTGTGGGTCACGACCCCTTTGGGGGTCAGATGACCCTTTCACAGAGGTTGCCCGATTCATAACAGTAGCAAAATTACAGTTATGAAGTAGCAACGAAAATAATTTTATGGTTGGGCGATCACCACAACATGAGGAACTGTATTAATGGGTCGTGGTGGCATTAAGAAGGTTGAGAGCCACTGGTTTAAAGTTTTCTAATATTACAGTTTTATAAAACAAAACTGAACAACTGTCTCTGCTAGATACTTAACCTTGACGTGTTTTAGTGGCATAGGCGATAGTGTACATACACTGTTCAATGTAAGCCCTTTAAAAATGGTATTGTTCTAATTGCTAAACAATTAGTGGAGAACCACAAAGAAAAGGCACATTTCAAGGATGTGGTTGAATTTTTCTTGAAGGCATTGGATATTTATATGAACTTGGTGGCTCCTTAAGAAAACAAAACATCTTTACAACTATAAACCTAAGTTTCTCAAAGGTGGACATTTTATTTTTCTCTATACCATTCTATGTGGGGGAAAACCTATTAGGTGTGAGGGATTTTATGTTTTAAAATCATCAATATAAATTAATTTAATTATCTAGTAAATTAAGTCAATTAATTGATCTAAATATAAATTATTACTCTTCTGTGAAACCGGACAGGCATATACCGCCTTATTTTTGGCCTACACCATTTGATTTGGTCTACTTCCATGTATAGTTGATATTGAATATCAAATGCCCTCTTAAATGATGCTTATCACATTGAGGAAAATATCACTGAATTTTAATATATTGTAAGTATTTTAATATGATAAACAGTAGAAAAATAGCTAACATTTTATTTTTAGATGGAATGATTTTGCACAATTGGCTGATAGTCTAAAAAGTGAAAGTGCCTCCAAATACAATTATTAAAAAAAGATCTACTTCATGCAGGTGATGCATTCCGGGGCCTCCGGAAGGAAGATAATCAAAATGCAATGCCTTTCAGCACATCAGATGTTGATAATGATGGCTGTCGTCCTGCGTGCCTGGTCCATGGTCAGTCTGTAAAGAGCTGCAGTCACTTCAATAACAACACTGGCTGGTGGTTCAGCCGGTGTGGCCTAGCGAACCTGAACGGCATTCACCACTTCCCCAGAAAGTTACAAGGAACTGGAATTCAGTGGGGTACATGGACCAAAAATAACTCACCTGTCAAGATTAAATCTGTCTCTATGAAAATTAGAAGAGTTTAAAATCCATATTTTAAGTAATCTCATCTAAAACTAAAGTGAAAATTCCACAATTACTTTTGATCATGTGTAAAAGACTCTACATAGTTTATTTCCCTTTTTATTTACTTTTTCAAACATATTGTCCAATACTTAAACTATAGATGGAATACAGGTGTTATATTCAAATTAAAATCTTTTAAATTTATAGTTTTATAAGACAAAGCACATTTACTGTGTGGTTTTTGCTACTACCCATATTAACAGTATGCAATAAAGTTTATTTTAAGTGAATTACAACTTGACTTTTTGTTTCTTTGAAGTACGTATCATAGTAAATTGTTAGGATGATTGAAGAGAGTTTATACGATTGATTCTAAGTGGTTAATCCCATATTCTGAAGATAACTTCTATCGAAGACCATCACTTGAATAACTTGTTCCGATTCATGCAGAACCAAACTAATGACAAACGCATTGCCATCCAGTCAATGCTGACTCAGCGACCCCTGTGAGATCCCCCGACCAGATTGTTTGGGGGAGTGCAAAGCCCCCTCTTTCTCCTGTGGGCCTGCTGGTGGCTTCAAACTGAGGACCATGTAGATCTCAGCCCAAGTAGAACGGCTGCGCCAGCAGGCCTACTGCTCATCTCACGACATGGTCAAGTTCCAAATAGCAGGCGGTTGTGCAAAAATTGGCATTATGTGAAACTGGATGAGGACCACATCAGACCACCAAATGGAGGATGATTACATCATTAAATACCACCAAATTTATGAGGTACTTTATGGACTATAGAGTCAATAAATATATGAAATGACATCTTCCCAATAATTATGAAAAATAAGATCTAATAATGAATTTGTCAAATCAGCATTTATGTGAAAAACCATAGCTCAGTTTCTGTACAGAAGATAGGGATAGATGTATCCATTCTTTCTGTAGTGATGTAGGTTTATGAAACCTTGTTGAAGGGCACATTTGATAACACCTGTCTGGAACGGAGGAATAAAGTCAAGAGCAAATCCAAATCTTTAAAAAATACACACATGTAATTATGAATATTTTGACATAGCTAACCTTTAGTGTGTATTTGTTGCCTGATGCTGTGCTAAATATTATACATGGATTTAATGTAGTACGATATATTATTCTAATTTTATTGTTGAATACCCGTAGTTAGACCGCTTCTATGTTTTCCCTCCCCTCTCTCACTGCCATCCAGTCTATTCTGACGCAGTGGCCCGATAGGACAAGGCCTACTTGGCCCTGTGGGTTTCTGAGATTGTAGCTTTTACAGCTGTAGAAAGCCTTGTCATTCTCCCATGGAGCAGCTGATGGTTTTGAACTGATGACCTTTCTGTTCACAGCTCAATGTGTAACCACTATGTCACCAGCGTCAGAATCTCTCCTCAACTCTTTCCATTATGCTGAAGCACCTGTGTGAAGTGTGCTGTGTGCAACCGTATAGATGATTGACCATGGGCTACAATTTATTTGTTCCAATTTCCCTGTCATGATGAATGTTCTCCCCCACCTCCCAAGATCATTTTATTGGGGGCTCTTACAGCTCTTATAACAATCCATACATCAGTTGTATCAAGACTGTTTGTACATATGTTGCCATCATTATTTTAAACTTTTACTTTCCATTTGAGCCCTTGGTATCAGTTCTTCCTCTTTCCTTCTCTCCCCCCGAGAAATGCTCTTATAAGTGAGGACAATACAACTCTTTTGCAAGTTCTGAAACTGGATTTTAGAGATTATATAAAGAAATCGCTTTGAAAACCTCACACTATAAATAGTGAGAGGTCTGAGGGTAAATGGGAGAAAGAAAGCCTACAATAATTGCGTATTGTCTTCTAACTCTGCCCAGGCCAGACTTGTCACCAGGCACACTGCAGCTGCTCCCATGCAAGGCACGGATAACAAGTCCACAGGACTCACGTTTGCAGTTCAAGTAAACAAGTGTAACGAGAAAAGGTTTGAGAAATAAAAATGAGCAAAGTTATTAATAAGATAAAATGGTATTTTCACTTAACTGGCTTTAATATTATATGCTTGGCATAATCAATAATCATTTTGTTTTCTATAAAAGTAGACAAGAAATCAAATACTTGTTATGTGGCAGTTAAGAGCTTAATGTTTTAAACATCTGGAAATGAGACTGAAGGTATTCCACTTTCTACTAAGGCCTGAACCATTTTATATTTCAGAAAAATCAGTCTTGCAAAACAAATAGTATAATGAAAACTTTAATTTCCCATATATTTTGCAATATTTCTAGAAACTTAATTTGAGAATAACATATTCAATCTACATCTTTAATGACCCCCTAATTTCACACTGTGATGTACCGCTAAGTTTTATAACAAACAGGCATTTAAGATAGGAATTTAGAATTAGAATGCTTCAAATTTTATTGATTTTAATTGAAGTACAATATACATATAGGAAGACTCACATATCGTCAGTGTGCAGAGTAATTATCCATAATCAAATATATTCATGTAACCAGCTCCCGGAAGAGAAGCAGACATTTCTAGCAGTTTTGGAAGCTTCTCTCATCCTGCCTTCTTGGCACTTACCCTTCATCGTAACTACTGTGCGGACATCTTACAGCAAGTGTTTTGCTAGGTGCCAGCGAGTCAGTTCCGACTCACAGTGACCCCATGCGCAGCAGACCGAAACACTTCCGGGTCCTGTGCCATCCCCACAACTGTTCTAATGTTTGAGCTGTCAATGTAGCTATTGTGCATATGAGGTGGTACCCCCCCCCAAAAAAAAACAAAAACAAAACGGAGACTGCTCCTTCCCTCCCACCCCACCTCTTCTCCCCTTAGGCGGCCCGCTAGGTGAGCATCAAGCAACTCACTCTGAGTTAGTGCACCCAGTGGTGTTGCCTGGGAAGGTTCTTTCTGGTCACAGGGAATTTTTTTGTAAAAGCGTTTTTACTCGAACCTCTTTTTTTGTGATGAGAAATTTAAGAGAACAGTGTGCTGCTGTGAAATTGTATTTCCTGTTTGGGAAAAATGTTGCAAAAACTGTTGTGAAGTTGAACACAACTTACAAGGACAGCACTATCGGAAAAACTCAAGTGTATGAGTGGTTTTCTCATTTCAAAAAAGGTGAAACGTGGATTGATGATAAATCTTGTTCTGGATGTTTGTCAATTTCCCAAACAGACAAAAATGTTGGCTTGTAGTGCATTTGGAGTTCGTTCCACCAGGTTAGACTGTTCATCAAGCTTTCTATTTAGAGCAGCGGTTCTCAACCTGTGGGTCGCGACCCTTTTTGGGGTAGAATGACCCTTTCACTGGAGTCGTCCGATTTATAACAGTAGCAAAATTACAGTTATGAAGTAGCACCGAAAGTAGTTTTATGGTTGGGGCGTCACCACAACATGAGGAACTGTATTAAAGGGTTGTGGAACCATTAGGAAAGTTGAGAACCACTGATTTAGAGGTTCTGAAAAGATTGTGTAACAGTGTGTGACAAAAAAGGCCTGATTTGTGGCAGATGGGGGACTTGTTTTGCCACCACGACAATGTACCTGCTCACACCCTTATCAGTGCTCCGGTTTTTGGTGAAAAACAGCAGGCCTCTCTTTCCCCACATACCTTTCTCACCTCACCTCACTCCATGTGATGTCTTTTTGCTTCCTCAAATGCAGAGGGACATGAAAGAACAGCAATTTGATGACATAGAAGCGGTGGTGAAGAAAAAAATGAGGGCGGTGCTGTCAACCATCCATACAGATGAGTTTGAAAATGTTTCCAAGAATGGAATCGCAGATTTGACAAACGTAGTAAGTGTAATGCACAGTACTTTGAAGGTGATAAGGTTGTTTTGTAAAAAAATAAAAATAAAAAATTAAAATGTATACCTTTGAAACCCCCTGAGATAGTTAAGGTTTATTGTGCCAACCTGGCCGATAAACACATGTGAGATTAATTGAAGGGTGGAGAGATAAATGGCTCTGTGAGCTTCACCTTTCTAGTTCTCAGGTCTCTTGCTTTCTGATGGTTGGACCAGGGTGGAGCTGCCTTAGCCAGTTCCCTGCTTCAGCTAGCAAGGCTCACTTCCTGCAAGACATCCCCAAGGAGAAGCCACATGGACCTACCCCGATGCAGCCGTGGAGCAGCCGTGTGGAGACCCCTGCCAGTGCTGAGATGCTTACACATTCACTGATTCGGCTTTCCTCCTGCAGTCAGCGTCATTGTGTGTCTTTTGTGAGGAGGACTTTGTAGATCGGTGTCAGGCATATGGGTTAATGTTGGACTTATGGGCTTGGACAGTACTCGGTTAGGATACTTTCTGAATGTACACTTACCCTTTATATAAAACTCTCTCTTACACATATGTGGGTTTCTGTGGATTTGTTTCCCTAGTTCACCCAGATTAACATCCCCCCCCCAAACTCCGGGTTTTCTTGGGCACCCCCTCATAGGTCAGTTTAAGAAAACACTTCTTGTTTTATTATAGTGAATCTATATGTACTAAAAGATTTGCCATTTGAATTGTTTTCTCCATGAACAACTTCATGACATTAAATATATTCATCATGATCCATTTCCAGGTCTTTCTATCATCTTTAATAGAAGTTCAGTGTCCTGTCATCAATATATCACCCTTTCCCCCTTAACATCATTTGCTAAATGTGTTATTAATCTTTATCAGGGGTGTGTAAGGCAAAACAACTTGTGGCCTGTGTCTGCACATCCCTCAACTAAGTACAGGAATCACTTTTGCATTTCTCATAGTGGTTACAATAGGAGAGAGAAGAGAAGAGTATGCCAGAGATCTTTAGGTGGCCCACAAAGCCTAAAACATTCACTATCTGACTCTTTGCAGAAAACATTTGCCCACTTAGTTTGCAAGTGCTTCTGTTATAGAAATACCACAAGTGGGTGACATTTAACAACAGAGGTTTACTTGTGTTTTTTGACAGTGTTGTAGGTTAATACTCCAAATCAGAGTCACTTTCCCTACTTCTCACTGCCATCGAGTCAAGGCTGACACAGCTACCCAACAGGACAGGAC